AAACGGAATTAATGGGCCTCGAGACGCCTATGCAGGTGTCAGATATCGTAAAAGACACCCACGACTGTCACTTGTTTGTAAATATTAATAGCTTCATTTGAGAATCCCAGCTTCGAATTGAATTTCCCGCCACAATGAAGTGCGAATTTAAATTTCTCGCCAAAAAGAGAGCCACAAAACAACTGAATTTTGGAGTGGTTTTTTTCCAAAGCAAATCGATAGGCACCAATGTCGGATTGGGGTATTGTATACAGATGTTGTTTGGGTATTATTATTACTATTATTATTTTCAGTTTTGCTGGCGACATTAGCGTTTTGAAAAAATGACGTTGGTTTTGGAATTGTGATTAACAGAACTTCCCTCGCCTTTGAAGTATAGTCCAATAAATTCCGTATCTTTAAAAAATGTGATAACTGTTAACCTCTTTAAAGTGACGTAATTAACATCCCAGCAACTCCTACGTCTTTAAATATGAAATATATTTAATGCAGATAACTAACGGGAAAAATGTAGACAATTTCAGTTTCTCAGTATATGCTAACTTCGACTGTTTATGTTTATACATCGACTGAATTCGACTACTAGCACAAACATCAGTGATTAAACGAAAATGAAATTTGGTTGATTTAGTGTCCTCAACGCATAGGAAATTGATTGATTAATTGGTATTCAGTCTTATTTTGACTGACGATTTACCACGTTTCAAATAATCTTAAAATATTTGCACGATTTCACAACATTCAGTTTTTGCAATTACAAAGTTACATTGTAAAATATTGTTATACAATGTTGATTTTTTTTTCAAAAATCTGGATGTTAAGGGTAAAAACTCAACACGGATTCATAAATCACACATGCAGGAATATGTTATTTTCTAAAATTTAAAGAACATTTGTTCGGCTGAATGACGTCATAATCTTTTGGGAAGGCCTTAAACGAAGAAATTTTGATTAACGATTTATCATCTGTCCTATAATCTTAAAACGTTTGCAATATTTCAGTACATTCGCTTTTGCAATTTTAAGGTTAAATTGTAAAATACAGTTTTGAATTCTTTCCCAAAAATCTCGATGTCTAGGGTAAAAACTCAACACGGATTCTAAATTACACATACATAGAGTATGTAGTTCTCTAAAATTTAAGAAACATTTGTTCTACAAAATTATAAAATGACGTCATCATTTTTTAGGAGGCCATAAACGAAAAAATTTTGATTAACGATTTACCATGCTTACGAATCTTAAACTTGTAAGTTTTTAAAATATTCGGTTTTACAATTTCAAAGTTAAAAAAGTAAAATGTTACACAATTTTGATTTTTTCCCCAAAAATCTGGATGTCTAGGGTAAAAATTCGTCACTGATTCATGAAGCACACCTATAAAATTAAATATATAACACCAAAAAAAAGGGCCAAATTAGTACATAGTAGGTAAAGTGGTACGTTCCACCCCACACTGTGTTTTTTAATTTATTAGAAGGTGCTTTATCATTTTTAACAGGCCAATTTTGACGTTGAAGTTTGTTTTTTATTTTTTTATAAAAATCTCAAAGTCAGCGGTTTCTATATGGATCCGCTGAAATCATGGTCAAAATCTTTAGAAATCCACATCTTTAAAAAAAAACTTAAAAATGAGGTGAAATGTTAAAAAACGCATTAAAAAAACTTAAGCGAAGGAAGTATTGTAATTTTAGCCAAAACCTAGCCCCACCCACCCGCCCCTTATTTTCTTGGAGAGTATGTCATTTGCCAAAATCAGTTTTATCTTAGCAAGTGCTAGTCCCGCCCATCTCCACTCTTCTCATCCTAACGACTAATTTTATTTCTGTTCAGTATAAGATCATTCATTTCATTCAGACCGGATAAAATTGATCACTGAAATGAAAGAAGGGTGGGTGGGCGGGGCTAATTATGTTCTCTTATGGAGTGGGAGTGGAAACTAATAGAATCTAGGATGTGAAAAAAGTAAAAAAAGCGCGATAATCGTAAATTTTTTGGTATACTATTTGCTAGTTAAACTGTAAAAATTGCTATATTTCTGTTGGCGATTTTGGAACAACGATAGAAATTTTCGAAGAAACAAAGCCGAAAATGACTTCTGCATGTCGAAATCTATAAGAAAATGTCTCGCTAATTTTTGAAAATGGTTCAAAAATTATCGATAATGTCAAAAGTCAAAATCAGTCGTATCTTATAAAATGCTCTAAAATGGAACAACTGGTTCAATAATTTTGGAGATGATCTTTCTAATAAAAATTCGGGTAGACGGCAGACAGACAGACGGAAAAGGGCGACTGCGTTTACGCTTTGAAAGTAAAAAGATACTCTTATTTAATATTTACATATATTGTTTTTTATGTGCCTGTTATATTTTTAGGAATATTTATTGCGTTTCTAATTGTATAAAAAAAAGAAGTAGATTCTTTTGGGGCCCACCGGGAAATTTCCCGGTGTCCCGGTAGCACAATCCGACAGTGTTAGACACAGCCAACTTTACCTTGATTTCTTACAATAAAATCAATATTCATTGCAAAACAAAACTTTCTACTTACGTTATGTTACGTGGTGAGTGGAAAAAGATAACAGAAGCTGTGAAAACAAGCATGGGGAATGAACTTAAAACAAAACACCTAATTAGAACTGCCGAATTTCCTAAGCTTAATGGTGTAAGTGACAAATATACGAGGATGACACATTCCGGTATTTGGCAACAGCTACAGCCAAAAATTGCATTTTGGCATTCATTTTGGCCATTCATGTTTTTCTTTAAGAATGGAACGACTGAGTTGAAACGAAAGTTGTTATATTTTGATTCGAACGCCACCGCACTCCCTTATCACAAAATACATATTGTTTTTTGTTGTTGATTCTGCATTGTTTGTCTTCATCCACCTGCTGACTGAAAAATCACGTTAAGTCACGTAGTATGGGTGTAGGTGGCACGTTCTGTAAACACCCTATGTAGTGGTTTTTGAATCGAAGAGAAAAGCTTTCATTATCTTGCTACAGGAAATCAAATTAAATTTGAAGTTTGTAGGGCAGTCAAAGTATTAGAAAGTTGAGTAATTATTTTGGTCGGAACACGTGTCAAAACGTGGTACTTCGGTGGTACGCGAGTCATCTTCTCGTTACGAAATCCACGCTGCGATGTTTTGCTAAAGTTGTTAGTGTTAGTTTAATAGAGTGAGAAGAGTTTATTTTCCCTTTTGATTAGTGTAGTTATAAATAGGTTTTTGCAGCGTAATAAAAAGGTGTTGCTTCTTTAATATTTTACGTTGTCGTTCACTTTATCTAGCTGTGTCGCCGACGGCGTCCAATAGAAACACATCATTGACGGACATAAAAGAAATGAACCAAGATCAGCGACCGCACAATCTAGACAGGTGCTTTCTGTTTTCCAGTCTAACTACTGCCTTCGGTCAAACCGAGATTGTATAACTAAGAAATCTGTTAGGATCAGCGTATGTCGGTACGAGTACTGTAGTAGTACCGCCATTATCTAATCGTCACGCTCCTTGAACATTTACCTCCATAATCTTCCGCTAATACGTTATCGGCGTCTACAATTTGCCATAAATAACGAAATTATCACTTTTCGAGAATTATCCTCCAGACGCCTATAGGCTCTTAGTCTTTCGACGAGGCGGTTATTCACAAGGGCCCACTGTTTTAACGACCACATATTTTTAACCCCGATAAAATAAATAAGGACTCGATGGTTACTGTTCGTTCACACTATTTTTATCTCAGCGCTTCACAAGTCGTCACTCCTGAAACCGATACAGATATCTCCAATCAAACGCAATTTTTCCTTGTCGAAATTCCTGGAATTCGCAATAAAACTACCATTTAATTTATTCGGCGGTATTTATTTTACGCGAGCGTAGGTGCCTTCGGTGCTTAATTATGTCATAGTACTGCTTGGGTGAAATGCCGCAAAATCATATCAAAAGTGGCCCAGACCGCCGCCAGACAATCAAAGTACGAGCACAAGTGTTAAATAAGAATCCAGTTCCGAAAGTAGGATCTGGGACGACGAAAATCTCCGTTCTATTAGAGTTTAATAGTACCGTATTTCGGAACGGTCAACTTATTGTATAAATATGTAAATGCAGCCTGCAGCGTATCGAACCCACTTAATGATAGTATTAGGTAATATCTCGATTGCGGGCTAAACGTACTAAATAGTACTTATGAAACGAGAATTTAACTATTAGTAATATATGCTGAGGAAATCAAATTCTGTAAATCAGTACCTATCGAACAGGTGTGCGATGCAAACCTGTCCTGTCGTAAAATCGGCACGTTATGAAAATTTGTGTCTGCTTTGCGCCGATTTGAGGCAATATTGGTACTCGAGTGGAGTGCTGTAGTACTGAATCGGCTTTCAGACGTTGACATATAACATGCTTTACATTTATTTTTTGTGAAGACCGGTTCCACAACTGGTTCACTTTCGAGTTTTATTTTGCCCACTTATTATGTACTTGTTTTGTGGCATTATAGTAGCGCCGGTGCGCATGTCCGACTATGTTGACGATCGAGGTAATTCAACTCTGCTGATTTTTCGTTTTAGATCTGGCTTTGTTATTTTTAATTAACGTTGAATTTAAAGCGAGATCTTGCGGGTCAAGACGTTGCGTTGGTAGACGCAAGTGGCAAATTGTGTCACGTTTTAAAAACGTGGAGTTTACGGTACGCCGGTACTATGTTGAATACAAATATTATGCAACATGTGTACAAAAGTGGCTAGTCCGGTTCTGCATTGAAATATACAAATCAAATATTTATTAGTTTCCTGCAATGAAAATATGGTAGGCGTTTTTCATTCATCCAGGAAAGTGCTAAAAATGGCGTCTTTGAGAGCGGCGGAAGTTGACCCTTATTCGCCGCGCATAAACAGTTAACTATTACACTAATACGGTAAATTAATATGTTTCGAGCCAGAAGGTAAACTAATCGGCGTTTTTAATTAATACTGTTACGGGTATTGTATTTCGAGTATGTTGCTCGACGAAACCCTACAAGACTTCACCGGTGCGTGCCAGTCTGACTAAGAGAGTTGCACGAAGGGTTTGAACCCTCTGTCGGTGAGTCAACAATTTAGTGCATATGACTAAAACTTATTTTTATTTTCCCATTACCCTCGCGAAATCATTTATATTGCATGTTGCCATTGTAATGGCAGAGGTGCGGCCGGCACTGACAACCGAGCCTACCACCACACGTTTTGTAACATTTGCATTTTTCGCTTGTTTCTTGTTTGTACTCCTTTATATTCCTCTCATGCATCAAAATTCAAATCAACACTTCACTTCGAGGGTTTTGACACTCTTATCGCCCTAACCTTGATCTAAATCACCACCGGCAAAAAGTGCCATTTTTATTATTATAAAATCTGCATACAAGTCCAGGTCACGCCTTCAAGTTAATAGCGTACAACGGACACAGTTCTATCTAAAAAAGGCGAAGCTTCGAGCTTAATCCAATGTAAATGCACGCTTTGAATGTATGCGCACCATTCTTGTGATATCGATAAATCTAAAAATCGGCGAGTGATTGTTTTGCGTTGTCTCCTACAATCGATTTTACCCTTAAAGTCAAGTCGGCGCATAGTGACCATGCGAGTTACGCAACGCCAAGACTTGGATGGGTAACCAACTAGGCTCGTTTCACATTTATCTATCTATCAGATTTAAAAGACTTTTAGCTGTCACACGTACTAACGACTTTTGGCACCTTTCGTAATGGGTTAAATCCGGAATTTCGGAAATGTCACGTACCGGGATGCCCATCTTGTGCTTCTTTGACGCCGGCACGTTTCGCCCTCCGTGATAAAATTTGGGTGTTCTTTTTCAGGTTGGTATGGCTCATCAAGAACGGAGATGTGATTGGGCGCAAAAATTGTGCTATGGGATGGGTCACGTTTATAATGATCTTTGCGCTGCGATGTGGTTTTCTTATACTTTGTTTTATCTGCAAATTGTTTTACAAATGGAAGCTAAAACCGCCGGTACTCTCATAATGACAGGTGAGTTCGTTGCTCATTCCTAATTGGTCTAAAACGATTAAGAAACGTAAAAAAGCCATTTCAGGTGTACAAAGTGAAAACCGCAGACCTTGATTTTTAAAAGTTTACTTAAATGGAAAGATTATATTTCCTATAAATTGATCAAGGTTGCAACATTTGTCGTGTGGAGAAATTTGAACGATAATATCTGTGGCGGGGAAAAGTATGAGGCATTGTCGGAAATTTAGTAATAAAAACGCTTATGAAAGGTTTAGTTTAGCAAACAATGATCTCGTTGCGGTAGTATTGATTTAGTTACGTAAATTACTAGGGCATTTGTATTATAAACATCTAATTATCATATGAATAGTACGATCCTGTGGGCGAGTTATTTTAATAAAATGATTTAAATAAGTAACAATTTCCACATGATGGATAGTCTCTGCACCTTTCCGATTAATGAAATCATAAAACAGAAGTAGCAAGGTTATCAACTGAACACCTGCAAAATCTTTATTAAAATATAACAAACCCGAATTAAAGATTCAAGGATAATGAGGAATGTTTACATAAACTTATTGCCTGTTGTTGTAAATTCTTCTACTCGTAAACAATATTAAATGCCTACATTCTGCATATTGATTGTCTGTCTGTCGGTCGGTGTGTGTTCGCGCCGACCCAAAAAAGTCAACTTCCCAAGTCATTTCTGTGACAAAAAGGTGTGCCTTATGCAACAAAAGTTACGATTTAAATGATTCAATAAAGACGTAACTGTACCGTTCAGCTTAACCCACAATTCAAACAAACTCAACTACACACATTAACTGTCCTTAATAGCACAAAATGACATAAGGAAACATGTACAGTTTATGGTTGATCAGTCTTTCCGCACAGTTATTACCGTTACTGATTTTTCGAAAGCGAATTTTTCTTATTATTGAAGAAATCGCCATTATTTTAATCAAATTACAGAATATTTTCTTTGTTTGTTAATCGCTGGATAGAGATACGCTCCACAGAATCCATGTAGTTAATTCGCTTTGCCGTCAAGTAGTGTCGTAAGTTGTAACAAGTAAAACTAACAATGATGTCAAAATTTTACAATGTCTTCCGCGTTGTGACGTTCTTTATTTACGACTATTGCTGCACCTCATGCGGGCATTTAAACGTACGAAAACGCAGAGATAAAATCCGCCGAAATTTATCTATTTGTTGAAAAAACCAGTTTCGGGTTTAGCACCAAATCGAAAAACAAATAAAACCTGTACGACAAGCGGAGACCAATTTAGAAATAGATAAATCAGGCGAAAAAATAATCTTGCTCAACGTTTTGTTTGTTTAATAATTGTGTTCGAAGCTTGACGGAACGGAAGGTTAAGTCGAGTATTGAAAAAATTTCACAGGTTGATGGTTTTTCTTGGCACTGTTTACCGCGGCCAATTACGTGGAGGTAAACCGCGAAAGCGCTCGATATTTCACTGTTCTTCTATTAATGTGCCTAATTTATATTAATGAGGAAAAAATTTTTACGCTCATGACTAACAGGCTCGTCTGTTTCACTTGTTTTAGGCCAAATCGTAGACTCGCTGGCTACACCTATAGTCGGCTGGGCGGTGGACCGAACTGGGGCCCGGAGGGCGTGGCATTTAGCAGGTGCGTTAACTCATTATGCCGTCATCTTCAGGGCCGAGTATACAATTCAGTGGCGTTCGTCGCCTACAGTCCGGGGGCGAAGCGAGCTGTATACGTCCTGAAAGAGATAGCGTTTCGCTAGATTTAAAGAACAAACGTGAAACCTCAAACATGACACACTTTAGTGCGGTATGGACTTAAGTAGACACAATATTTGAAAAATTCAGCTTTTTGGATTGGTACAAAAAATTCATCTCGACGAGCTGAATCAAAAAAATTGCCAAATATTCGGTTTGAAAGTCAAATTTTTCTAACATTCTAAAAATTTCCATGAATCACTCGACGTTTCCGGAAAAATGGTAGGAGTTTTCGAAGAAATGATGCCGAAGGTAACTTCTAGAGGCCGAAATCTACAAGAAAATGTGTTTAGATGATTTTTGAAAATGCCAAAAAATGCTCAAAAATTTGGTAGTTTTGAAAAAATTGGTCGAAAGTTGTTTCGACAGAACTTCCCTCGCTCCTGAAATACAATATAATTTTTTTTGAGTCACCCTGCATACGCAAAAAAATATTAATGGAATGATAAATCATAAGTACACACTCATCATACTTTGTATGTACAATTTAGACAGGATTTATTCGGCAAATTTTTGAGCTGACGTCATCAATTTTTTGGAGGGGATAAGCAAATATATTTTGATTAAAAATTTATCATGCTTATCATAAGTACAAACTGTCTGCAAGATTTCAAAGCTTTCGGTTTTGCAAAAATGTTGTTTCATAATTTTGATTTTTTTTCCAAAAATGTGGACGTTTCGGCTAAAAACTCAATTTGGAGTCATAAACTACATATGTAGCACTATGTTATTTTTTGCAATTTGAAACCCATTTACTGTGTACCCTTTTGAAGTGACGTCATCATATTATTGGTGGAGATGATTAGACAAATTTTGGTTAGCGTTTTACCATCTACATGATATTCTTAATATAAATACAAAATTTGACAACAATCGGCCCAGTACTTTCGGAGAATATATGTCGAATAAAAATCCGGGACGGCAGACGGACGGACAGTCAGACAGACAGAAGGACAGACAGACAGCCAGACGGAAACGGGAGAGACTGGGGGGGTTATGAAAGGTCGAGAAAACGTAACAGCAGATAGCCGGTCGACGGACTCGATTACAATACTTTCTTTGCTTACGCTCGGGAAGTAAAAATTGACCTTTTGGAAAAGTTCTCCAAAAATTCTCGACAGAATTTTTCACAGACACCCACTGTGAAAATCTTCGAAAAAGAAATCAATTCCGTCACTTTCAATTAATTATTATGTTTGTAATGAGGGTTTAAAGGCTATATCCTCCACTAACTAACTTTCATTTAAATAAATAAAATAAAGAATTTCTAAAATTTGGATATTTCGACTGTCGATTCTGGAAAAACAATTGCAGTTATCAAAGAAAGGAGGCCGGAAGTGAGTTCCAGAGTTTGAAATCTGCAAGAAAATGTATTTAGTTAAGTTTCGAAAATGTCAAAAATTGGCCGAAATTTGACCATTGGAAAAATTTCACTTTTAAAAAAGTCGTCTAAAAATTCTGAAAAAATTCAGGAATGTAGATCTTGACGTGCTGATTCCAAAAATATAGCGTGTTAAACGTCACAGAGAAACATATTCGAAATATTCGGTATGAAATTCGAATTTTTTGAAATTTCTTTAAAATTGCGGTATTTCAATGGGCAATTTTGAAAAAACGGTTGGAGTAATCGAAGAAATGAGGGCGCAATTGAATTCCGCAGCCCGAAATACACAAGAAAATGTATTTAGTTAAGTTTAGAAAATAGTCGACATTGGGTCGCAATTTGAAGGATTTTGGAAAATTTCATTTTTGAAAAATTTGTTTAAAAATTCTGAAAAAATTCAGAGATGTAGATCTCGACGTGCTGATTCCAAAAATATAGCGTGTCAATTGGTCGCGGAGCAACATATTCGAAACATTCGGTATGAAATTTTTTGAAATTTCTAGAATTTGCGAAATTTCTTGGGCGATTCTGAAAAAATGGTTGAAGTTACCGGAGAAATGAAGCGGGAAATGGATTCCGCGGCCCGAAATCCACAAGCAAATGTATTTAGTTAAGTTTCAAAAATGGTCGAAAATGGATATTGGAAAAATTTATCTAAAAATTCTAAAAAAATTCAGGGATGTAGATCTCGATGTGTTGCTTCCAAAAATTTAGCGTGTTTATGGTAACGAAGCAATATTTTCGAAATATTCGGTTTTGAAATGAAATTTTTTTGAAATTGCAAATATTGCGATATTTTAGTGGGCTATTTTGGAAAAACGGTTCGAGTTATCGAAAAAACGATAACGAAATTGACTTCCAAAGTTGAAATCGACAAGAAAATGTATTTAGTTGACTTTCGAAAATGGTCGCAAATGGGTCGAATTTGAAAAAAGGAAAAGTTTCATTTTTGAAAATTGTTCTAAAAATTCTCAAAAAATTCAGGGTTATAGATCCCGACGTGCTTCTGCTAAAAATATAGGCTGTTCATGGTAACGGAGTAATATTTTCGAAATATTCGGTGAGAAATTCTATTTTCTTGAAGTTTTTAAAAATGACGATATTTTAATGGACGATTCTGGAAAAACGGTTGGAGTCATCGAAGAAATGAGGCCGAAAGTAACTTCTGCGGCCCGACATATACAAGAAAATGTATTTAGTTAAGTTCCAAAGATCGGGGGAAAATTTCATTTTTGAAAAAGTCTAAAAATTCAAAAGCTTGTGCTGATTCCAAAAATATAGCGTGTTAATGGTCACCGAGCAACATATTCCAAACATTCGGTATGAAAATCGAATTTGTTAAAATTTATAAAAAACGCCATATTTCATGGGCGATTCTGAAAAAAAGGTGGGAGTTAAGAAAGAACGAGGCCGAACTTCTGTAGCCCGAAATCTACAAGAAAATGTGTTTAGTTAAATTTCGAATATCGTCGAAATTGGGTCGAAAGGATATATACAGTAGCGGTCATTTCTACGGAACCACTCGATAAAAAGTCAAGTTGGTAGCCCTGTCATCTAGTACTTTAGGTCGAACGCGGTTGGTAGCGGTAGTTGATATGACAATCGAAACTAGCACAACACGAATGTTTCGGTTGCCCTCAGCTATGCCGCACTGTATCCCGTGCAGGCTGTATGTTCTGTTCATCTATTTATTAAAATAAAATATCTACATTGACAATGGGACCATTCAACCTGTCAAATTTTTGACACATATGTTTTCCCCCAGAAACCCGTCAAGGTCACTTACACCAAACAAACTTTGAAAATTTACACTAGGGAGTGGTTCTATAGAAAAGATCGCGACTTTGGTGGAAAATTTCATTTTTGAAAAAGTCGTCTAAAAATTCTGAAAAACATCAGGGATGTAGAATTCGAGGTGCTGATTCCAAAAATACAACGTGTTAATGGTCACCGAGTAACATTATCGAAACATTCGGTATGAAGTTCGAATTTTTTGAAATTTCTAAAAATTGCAATATTTCAATGGGCAATTCTGAAAAAACAGTTGAAGTTATCGAAGAAATGAGGCCGGAAATTAATTCCATGGCCCGAAATCCACAAGAAAATGTTATTTAGTTAAGTCTCCAAAATGGTGAGAAATGGCTCGAAATTTGAAAAGTCCATAATTGCCATAATTCATTGCTCGAATTTGTAACTACAAATCTTTTGGTAAATTTTGAAAATGGTCGAAAAAAGGAGGTCGAAAATTTGCTATCTATTGAAAAAATTGACCTTTTGGAAAAATTGTCTAAAAGTTTTCAAATTTTCGAAAAATTGCCATTTTTTTATATTGGCGATTCTGGAAAAATGATACACATACAGAAAATATCCCCGAATCCAATTTTCGAAGGTCATAGAAAAATGCTTGAAGTCGAGTAGACTACCGAAAATTTGTGTTTTTGAAAAAAGTAGCATAAAAAGCACACAAATTCTGGCCATAAATCTCGACGAGCTGATTCGAAAAACATGGCGTGTTTTGGTGCCGGACCAATCTGGGTGGGCTAGATGTATATAATCAAAGCTAGAACTTTTTCGAGGCTTCCGGTCCAGCGTGCTCTCGACGTTCCTTGCGTGTATTCGCCAATTGTGGAACAACATAGTAAAAATTTGTGAGCTACAACTTCATCCGAATTCAACGTGGTCCCCCCGCCCCGCACCTCAACCCCGAGCAATTTTTTTAATTATGCACATACATTACAATTGTAGGAATTTTTCATTTGTGTATCTATTATCTACTCGTAATATGTAAATTTATGCAAGTCTCCGATTGAGTCGCGGCTTGATATCTGAAATTTCGGCAGCGTTTATATTGCGTGTCTTATTGCCGTATTAATTCACCTTAATCGCCAGTCTAATTGTGAAGTAAAGAAATAAAAAAACCTATTGACACAACTACAAAAACTTGTCTGTCTATATTAGCATAATAAATGTTATTTAAATGTATTTACATGTAAGCATTATGTTTCCAGGAACGTTAGCGGCGTCTGTTGGATTTTCTTTGATTTATTGTTTAAAACCGACCACTCTGAGCACATCGGTCCTCATTGGCTATGGTTTTGTTATTGGTTTATTCCAAATAGGATGGGCTGTAACCCAAATTTCGCATTTATCTATTATTCCGGAAATAGCAACCACACACAAATACACTTCTGATTTGACAGCAATTAGGTAACATGAATCATCCATTCAAACATACCTTCAATTAATGCCATGGTAGTCATGCTATTGCTGCATGAATTACTTAATCTAATTAAATGCGAATTACATGAACTTGAATCATCAATTGCTTTGTTTCAGATACACTGCAACGGTCTGCTGCAGCATTGCCGTTTATTTAATAACGCTATTCGTACTTAAAAACGGTAATGACGTTAACGATATAGGACCTGGAGACTTTTACAAGTTCAAGGTACCACTGCACTGTCCAGATTTTGACTTTGTCAAAAATCGGGTAAAATTTTTGACCTAACCTTACTTTTGTCATCTAGGAAATAGCGCTGATAATCACGCTCATGGGGCTGTTCTCCTCGTTGTTATTTTATTGCGGGACTTTCAGTAAAGAGGAGCGGAATAAAGAATACGAGTCAATTCCGGCAAGTGAATCAGAAGATTCCAGCGGTTTGGTCGCAAATGAAGATGTCACGCATTTTCTGAAATCATCAATTATATACAAGGTTTCGCTAATGTAGCCGAAGAGGATTAGCGTAGGAATAAATTTATAAACTAACACTTTTCCATCAGGTATATGGCTTCAAGGTTGTTCACGACGTTAACACTTATTTATATTCCATTGTATCTGGATGAAAAAGGAGCGGGTTCCGAAGACACGGGGGATGGGATTAGGAGAACAATAGCGAGTGTTCCACTTGTCTGTTTCGTGGCTTCTTTTTTAACATCCATAATACTAAAATTTAGAATTAGGCGGTGTGGCGATAAAGTAAGCCGACTGTAATCTCGGTAATGGAATATATAAATTTGTTTTATAGGTGGTTTATCTGTCTGGGATAATTCTGGCCCTAATTGGAAGCGTTTGGATAAAAATGGGGTTTTTGTTTCGGTCGGGTAGTCAATTATATGTAATTGCCTCGCTAATAGGTAATGACCGGATCATTATCATATTTAAAATAATCTCGATCTGGCTGCAGGTGTAAGTGGTTCTGCAACTATGGTTTCCAGTTTATGTTTAACAGCAGAATTTGTTAAAGTCAACGGTTATGGTGGGGCTTCTGTCTACAGCACGGTAACATTTACCGATAAATTAATAACAGGCGGCGTCGTACTCCTCGTTCAAAACCTGTACGTCTGACTTTTTGAAAATTTTCAGCTCCTAGGTTACTTTGTTCTGTTTCAGGCAATGTACGCCCAAAGACCTGTGCCCACACTTCTACGAAGACGTGCTCTCATACGTTTGCGCTATTGTAACTCTAATAGGATTAGCCTCATTAGCGACACTCCACTGCCGATCAAATTAAACACTTTTCTACGCTTCATGTTTTATTTAAAGAAAAAACTTATAAAGCCTCTCCAAATTGTTGTATTTGGCCGATGACGTAGTCCATGTCCGAATATGTTGCGACTGGATGGCAAGTAGTAATCATCCGAAAAAAGTTGCATAAGCCTTTATGGTGAAGAGGCGAATAACCTATCATCAGTTTGCCACTCTTCACCATTTTTTCTTTAATTGCGGGAGCCACCTGCAAAACATTGTCGGGTTTGTTTTTTGCCATAATAGCACTCACATTGTTCATTTTTTGCCACCATTCGCCGTCCTCCTCTCTTCCGCGCATCGTCTTCGGAACGTACCAGAAACACACGGCAGTCGCCTCGAACTCGCGCTGCACAAGTCGAAATCCCTCCGTTGCCTCAATTCTCGACTTAAAGTAGCTGAAAATGGAACGTTAGGACCGGACCTTCAAACGCACACTTCCCAAAATGCCCCCGCGAATTAAAGACTCGATTTCCGCGGAAAATGATCTAGCCGAAAGATTCTAACATCGAGCAAATTAAAGACCCTGAGGTTAAATTTGTGAGAAATTTATCGTTCGGTATTCGGTAGTTTGGTCTGGAATGATAAGGATTGCATATGGGATCGGAATGCGTTGTTAAATCTAGATCTGGCCGGGCATTTCGGGAAATGGCGGGCGTCGGGGTTTGCCCACAACAAGGACATGTGTTGGGTTATTAATGTTTACTTGGCGCAATCCAACGCGTTGTCTACGAGTTTTTGGAAGCCCGATAATCCCCTGGCTTTCCACATGATCCATAATTTAAAACTATCGACCTGCGAGTACAAAGCAAATAAAAGAAGGAGACGATATGTGCGAATGTACCTTCCGACCGCATTGTATGCTTTTGTCGCCAGTATCATACGAGACGTCGTAAAATTTATCTTGTTGGAATAAATATCTAGCTGAAGCTGAATTACATTCATGAAGAATATTCTAAAAATAGAACCGTTAATATAAGTACAATGAGATATTTCCAACCTACGTTATGTCTTGTTATAAATATTGAGCACTGCAACGGAGCACCTAACATTTTGTGTGGGTTCCAAGCAAACGAGTCCGATCTAGTAAAAATTGCACAAGCAAAAATGAAATCATGACTAATACAGTTTTACACTCACTCACCTGTGTGATGCCCCCAGCCTTTGTTGGTAATTTTTAGAAAGTAAAAGGGTGCCTCCATAACAAGCCTAAAACAAATTCAAATTCACGTCCCACTCATAGGCGAGGTACGTAATTTACGTCAACATGTAGCCACAAATCGTATTTATCGCAAATATTGGCGATTTTATCTAAAGGATCTATGGCTCCTAGAACGGTAGTACCGGCAGTGGCATTGACAAAAAATGGGACACATCCTCTCTCTTTGCTCGAAAGTATTTCCTTTTCCAACTCCTCCGGAATCATCCGTCCTAAATCATCAGTACCTATCTTGATCAAGTTATCAGTACCGATCCCCAGCCACTGCGCCGACTTCTGGAGGGAATAATGTCCCTAAAACGTCCCTTTAAACAACGCCTACTAATTAACCTTGGTGACTTGCTGCTTCCGACGTAAACGCCACTAAAACCGGCAACCCGTGAAGCCCTTTTGTCTTGGTCTCTGGGAATCTCCGGTACCGCGCGAGTATCATTCCGTACATATTGGAAATGCTTCCGCCGGGCGAAAATATTCCATCACCGTCCGCGTACCCAATCAGTTTCTTCACTTCTTCAATTATCTTCATCTCAATTAGAGAAAAGACGGGGGCGACTTCGAACGTGTGTTGATTAGTATTCAAGGCTTCTGACAACCAGGTTGCTCCAAGACCAAAAAAATCCGTTCCTCCGTAAAGTTGATTGTGAAATTTCACACTATTTGTCTTTATGCTGTATCGTACGACTTTTTTACAAAGTGCCTCAAGCTCATCCAAATTCGCGCATGGTTCGGTCAAGGAGAAATCAATTTTATTCTTGAAAATTAATTGCGATTTTTTCTACAAACACTAATAAATTCACTTACCTTCAACTGCTCGGGATCTACATATTCAACGACTTTCGTTTCCTGGGGGGTTAGAACGTTTTCTTGTTTGATTAGAGAGACGATTCGGTCCAAAAAGTCCAAAACGTTTAGTGTATCCATGGCTAGTACCGTTCGACTACTAAAAGAGCCGGTGTGCATGTTAAACAAACAAAAAGCGGCGTGGACAGAGCCGTAATAGAATTTTTACAGATTAAAAAAGATTTTATTTATGAAAAAGTACGGGGTACCATATTGGACAAAGATGTGGTTATTTCCGAGAGTCGCGTAGGTGGTACGCGGTAGATTATCTTGTTCATTCATTGCAACAACCGCTATGCAAACAATAAAATAAATAAATTTGCAAATGAGTTCTATTAATTTGCCTAGTTGAAAATCTGACAGTGTTGGCGTTGTCGGTCGAAGACAATAGTAACTAGTGGTACCGTAGGAAAAAATGACATCACGATAATGACAAGGAAAATCAAAAAAAGCTTGTCAGCATTGAAACAAAGTTGTTTCACGTTTAAACATTCATATATTTCAAACAATGTAAATTAAAATAATGTAAAAATGATGGGAGTTTTGGGACACAAAGGAAAAAGGTTTACCATTATGGCCTCAAATGAGTCGGAAGATAACGAAAAGAAAATATCTCGCACAAAAAATAAGGTCACCGAAAATTTAATCTCTCATTATGGAAATCTCATTGCCATTAAAACGTAATTAAGCACCATTATTTTACTCAATAACAATTAGCAACGATAAACAAGCTCAGAAAAAACTTGATGGTACATTTTTAATCTACGACCGGTACACCTAGACCTGTGCGCATGATGTAACAGTACTGTAAATAATAAAAATAAGATTTATTTTCTGAACACGTTCATAGTTATACAAGAAAATCTCAAAAACATGTCTTGAAATTTAAGCAGGTCGTAATACTTTGATATAGTTGCACTATAACATCACAAAATGAACAATGAACTTGCGATAAAAGATTATGTTGTTTCAGATCTGATAATCCCAGCGCGAGCGGCATTCCGGTAAATTTGTATAAATCGTGCATTCTGCGAGACCATTTTGCCAAAAAAAATGTCATAGGGGTGTCGACGTCAGTTTCGTCACTTAGCAACCACTTTTTGTAAATTATCGTTGTATATTGTTGATCCTCCACACTTTCTTAAGGGCTTGATTTGCAAAACGAGTAACTTACTATGAAAATACCGGACTTAACAATAAGTTTTGGCAGGTTTAAGATACTTATTGTATCTGAACTTGCAGTTATGAGGACTAAGTGGTATTTCGGTTGGCTTTACTGTTGTGATTGCCAATAAACTTACAAATTGCTGAGATTCCGGGGTATTTGCCAGCGTGATTGCCAATTAAAAGGATTTCTCTCATTAATATTGCGAGGGAGAATATATCGAATATCAATACAAAAAAATGCAGCAATTAGAAATGCCGCATTCTCGGTGTTGATTGTAAAAATGATAATACCTCCAGTGTTTAATTGCTACCGACTCAGAATTAAACGTGCTTTTCTCTGTTCAGTCAGGGATTTACATCGAAAGTTGTTTATGCGAACAAAATGCGAAGAAGCACGTAATCTAAAAAGCAGGCATATTTTTTGTAAGAGTACAAAACAAAGCGATTTGTCGTTTTTCGTTTATGCCGTGCTCCGGTGACTTTCCAAAACGAACAAATCCTCAGACGCGATATTTATACGTTCATGTGTGTATCGATTTCGCGGTAACAGCAGCCACAGGCGCCACCTGTTGGCATGCACCACGATTGAAATAAATGAATCGACAAACATGGTCAAATCGCTGCATTTTCAATTTATTAACCCTAAATAACTTAAAATGATATCGAAGATGCATTTTCACATATAGTTCGACGTACCGAAAGTTTTATCGTCCAGGTTTTCGTTTTTTGCAGCTGCTAATTCTCATATCCGTCAAATTTTGCACAAGTGCAGTTTGAAATTTTGCCAGAAAATTGACGTCTGTGGGAATTTATCTACGAGATGTAACTTCCTACGTTGCAGTAATAACTGCCACTGTAATTTGATAATGACCCAATGACTAACACCCAAGATTATTCAGATTTGGTTGACATATGGAAGGCGTAAAAGTATGACCAACCCATAAACTTAACTATTTAAATTTGCTCATTACACCGATGATATAATCTGTATTTGTGAAGCTCGCAGTTTAGTCAATCACCACAAAGCAGGAAAAGCGTCGTATTAATGGTTAAAATGCAGTTTTGTGTGGCGATTTTATGAGTTTCTCGAAATTACTCACGTTGGCGACACTGCGTTGTCGTGAATGTATTCGTTGCGTCTCTTTCTAACGATGACTGTTTTGACTGTGCTGATTAAACTGTAAACGGTTGTTCGAGTTTTTCTTATCTGTATTATATCATTTTATGATTAGGAATATATGATTTGGTAAGTGATAAGTGCTGTCAACGATTACCGATAAATTTACCGCTTCGATTTAAATTTTGTTGGGTGACTGAGGTTACGTGGTTACACGGCCACCTGCCACTCCCACTGATTTATTAAAATACTCACAATTTAGAAATAAGCGATGGGTAGTTTTCTAAGAATGCGTTTATTAAGGTATGTTCCGGTTCTACCTTCTTGGGTGCTGGACCCTCTCCATGGTCCATGCACAAGGACAACAGTATAATACTGATGGACAACCATACAACCCCCAAAACACACCTTATAACGAACAAGGGCCCCAAAATCAACAAGGAACGTTGTACAACCAACAAAACCCACAAGGACCGTTGCAAAACCAACAAGGTTCATTGTACAACCAACAGGATCCATACAACAACCGACAAGATCTGTACAATAACAGACAAGACCCACAGTACAACCAACAAGGCAATCTATATGATCAAGGCTCTACATATGGCCAAAGACCACAATATAATCCACAGAATCCTCAAGGATTTTATAATAATGACCTAAGTAATGATATTCTTTATGATATTCATTGCCCAGAACACTGGGTTAGGTTTTACCAGTCATGCTATAGGTTTATCAAATCGCCACTACGACCATACGACGAGGCACGAAGAATCTGTAAAGTATGTACCTTACCTTGCCCAATGACTAACCCAAGCTAACGTCCCGTTTTCCAGACGTACGCGGTAGAATCAGGCGGTTCAGATCTGGTGTCAATTGGTAGTACAGAAGAACACGGTTTTCTGATCAACCAATTGAACACCCTGGACCCTCAACATCGCAGATGGTACATAGGAGCCCACCAACAGAACCCAGATTACTGGGTTAACGCCGACGGAAGCCCCTTAGTTAACATGGAAAACGCATTCCTTCCCGTCCCGCAACGCTACGGCAAAGATTTCCTTGCCTACAATTTCTCAGTAGAGCGCATGCATTGGGGTTTCCAACCAGTACGTGGTGACGAACCCCTCCTCTTCATTTGTGAAGCCAATATTAGAAGCATCCAGAAACTCGTTTCAGACGACCGCACCTATACATACGGTATTGAAATCACCAACCCGGATAGGATTCCCAGGGGACCCTATTTCATCAAACAACCAATTGACGCCACTTTTGACATGTCCAAACGAAAATTATACAACGACGTAAGTTTAAGTTGTCTGGCCGGTGGTTACCCAACGCCTACGTACGAGTGGTACCGAGAAGACTACGAAAACGATCGCCTAATCGCCAAGAAAATAGACCCTTTGAAGGACGGTCGTTACACCATCAGCGGCGGGATGCTAATTATCAATAACCCTCAGCAGAAACTAGACCACGCCACGTATCACTGCAAAGCCACGAATAAATTCGGCACGATCATTTCAGAAAGCGTCCAACTCAACTTCGGTTTTATTTTAGAATTCGTGTTGAAACGCTCGCCGGAATCGGGTGATCAGAATTGGGGGAAGTCAATATATTGCGATCCTCCTAATCACTTTCCGGCGGTGCGGTACTCATGGTCACGTGACTATTTTCCTAATTTCGTGGATGAGGATAAAAGGGTGTTTGTTTCCAATGACGGGGCTTTGTATTTTTCGGCTTTGGAGACGATAGATAAGGCCAATTACAGCTGCAGCGTCCAGTCTGAGTTCTCGGATTCGGGTAGAAACGGTCCGTTTTTCCCATTGATGGTCAATCCGCACTGTGAGTTAGAGTGGTTTTGAAGGCTTTTGATGATTGTAGCATTTTAGCAAACTATCAGCAGCTTAAATTTCCTAATAATTTCCCTAAAGCTTTTCCCGACTCGCCCATTGCTGGAAAAGAAGTTAGATTAGAGTGTATGGCTTTTGGATAGTAAGATTCTGGTATTGTGGTAGCGGTTGAGGTTGATTATTGTTTTGTAGTCCCGTCCCTAGTTACAATTGGACTAGGAGAGGCGCTCCTTTACCTAGGACTGCGAGGTTGTCTAGTTATAATAGAGTGCTAACCATTCCTCACGTCAAGGTGGAAGATCAAGGAGAGTACGTTTGCCGGGTCTACAACGACAGGTCAAGTACCGAAAATAGCCTGATACTAAATATTCAAGGTTTGAGTTTTCATTAAAAAAAAAAAACACCAACTACCGCGCTAATCTTCCAGCTGAACCCAACTTCACTATCCCACTTACTGATAGACACGTAGACAGCAAGAGTGAGTTGGTGTGGACGTGTGAAGCTTTTGGAATTCCAGACGTTAACTACACATGGTGGAAAAACGGCCGACAGTTGGGTACGTAAATCTACCAAAACGATACTCCCCTAATTTTGTCTGTTAAGTTATGGGCTATCTGGACTCAGAGGAACGCGGTAGAGTCAAAATTCAAGACAACGTTTTAACTATAAGCTACCTGGATCAAGAACGCGATCCTGGAATGTACCAGTGTAGAGCCTCAAATACTCTCAAAACTAAATACTCATCTGCCCAGTTACGAGTTTTAGCGTTTAAGCCTACTTTTAAGAAACATCCTCTAGAATCTGAAACTTACGCAGCCGACCAAGGGGAAGTGATAATTAAGTGTAATCCAGAGGCGGCCCCCAAACCTAAATTCATATGGAAGAAAGACGGGAATGTTATAGGTGAGACGAGTTGAAATGTCATTATTCTCACACAACAGCTACGCTGTCTTCTCACACTATACTGTGTAGTTGTGAGGATAACAATGTGCTTGTGTTAGAGTGAATTCGTGTATAATGTTGAGTTTTAAAGGGTCTGGAGGGCACAGACGCATTTTAGAAAACGGTAACTTGATTATTAAATCCGTATCCCGGGACGACGAAGGTGTATATACTTGTACTGCCAGTAATGAACTCGGAATTGATGAATCAAAGGGGCGTTTAATTGTTTTACGTAAGTTTACAAATGTGCGTGATCGGGTGTACAATTTCTCGCTTCAGGGGGACCACGCCTTGTTGAAAATTTGAACCCTCACATTGTTACCACGGTTGGTAGGTACTTTGAACTACGATGTCTAGTCGAAACTGAAGAAATGTTAGATATAGCGTATACATGGACGCATAATGGTATGAAAATAAGAGATATAGACGTGAAAAACTCGAATAACCGATTGGTAAGTGTATATGTACTTTTTGCACGCGATTAACTTTTCTTTAGAGGATAGACGGTGGGCACTTATCCATTGTAAATACTACGTTTACCGACGCCGGTGAATACGAGTGTGTTGTAAAATCCACGGTTGGTAAAATTTCGTCGAGGTCGGTGGTAGTAGTTGAAGGACCTCCGGGTCCTCCAGGTGGGGTCCAAATTACGAATATCCAAAAGAGTTCAGTCACTCTAAAATGGACAGATGGTGCCATACATGGTTCCCAAATTAATAGCTACAGTGTTAGCGGCCGAACTAACTGGAACCAGACTTGGATGAATATAAGTCACGGTATATATGCTCGTGAGATTGACAGATATACTGGTCAGAAAGAAGCGACCATTGAAAACGTTCTAACCCCTTGGTCCACGTACGAATTTCGTATATCCGCTTGGAATTCTTGGGGGATGGGTGCGTTCTCCGCTCCCAGTCCCCGTCATTCTACCCCACCTGATCGTCCTTACATTGCTCCATATAACATTGGTGGTGGCGGCGGCAAAATCGGGGATCTTACAATCACTTGGTCTCCTTTGAAACCCGACGAGCAGAATGGTCCGGGAATTTACTATAGGATATTCTGGAAGCAGAAAGATGTCGAGGTTGATTTCCAAAGTCTGGAATTAAAAGAGTTCGGCAACACTGGAATGGCAGTAGTGCATATATCCGCGGATAACTACTATACTGAGTATGTTGTGAAGGTTCAAGCGATTAATGATATCGGGCGAGGTCCTATTAGTCCCGAATTCGTTATATACTCGGCTGAGGATATGCCTCAAGCTGCACCTCAACTGGTAACAGCAAGGTCCTTCAACTCCACTGCGCTTAACGTCAGTTGGGTACCAATTGATCAATCACGGAAGAATCTGAGAGGCAAACTGATCGGTCACCGTGTAAGTAAACGGATCCCTAAAAGGGTAAGCAGATGGAGAATGATACGTTTTTAGGTCAAATACTGGAAGAAGGATTCAGAGGAGCAACAATCCGTGTATTATTTATCAAGGACGACGAGACCATGGGCTTTGATTGTAGGTCTGCAACCTGATACTTACTACTTTGTGAAAGTAATGGCGTACAACACGGCTGGCGAGGGTCCAGAGAGTGAACGCTTTTTAGGTCAGTTGTGGCTTTTAAGGTAATAGGGTTAATTATCTGCTTCGGTTTTAGAACGTACGTACAGAAAAGCCCCTCAGAAACCTCCTTCGTCGGTACACGTATTTGGTCTCAATCCTTCAACCGTCAAAGTTGTGTGGCGGTATGTGCAACCGTCACCCGAAGAAGAACCGCTTAAGGGTTATAAGGTATTGGTGTGTGTTGGAATGAGTTAGTTTTGACTTATTTTTTTAAGATTCGGGTGTGGGAGTTCGACCAAGATATAAGTACTGCGAATGATACTATAAAGTCTTTTGGTGGAAAGTTAGAGGCATATGTGGATAATCTTCAACCTGGAAAGACGTATAGGATGCGTGTGTTGGCCTTTTCTAATGGTGGAGACGGCCGGATGAGTTCTCCAGAAGTCAAATTTCGAATGGGTGCGTTGGGACACAATTAATTTATTGTACGGCTTTACTCTTCTTTCATGCTTATATTGTGATTGTTTGCAGGTCCTCTTTCATATTACAGAAGTGCTTGCGAAGAGTTAAAACCATTGTCTATAACAATAGTCATAGCATGTTTGCTTCATTATGTACTAACAACATGACATTTAACCTAATTTTTTTGTTATGTTTTTTTAATTTTGTATTATATTAGTGTCTCTAAAGCCGTTTATTTTTGGCATTGAGGCTTGAGATTTGAACTGTGCCTTAACATTAACAGGACTGCTGGTATCATTCTGTAAACGTACCTGTTTGTAATCAAAAATATGGTAGCAATAATTTTGTATGTGTTCAGGAGCATTTAATGTACATCATGAATCCGTCCAACAAGGGTTGTAATTTTTTTATCATATAGAAAATAGAGTATGAAATTATATTTTCTTTTTTAAATAAAGTTTTCGTAAAACGTGTCCGATTTTCCTTTGGCCGAAAAGCAATCCAACTTCGTTGCCATCAATAATTCCGGAGTGTTACGCGGAAAGAAAAACAATCTGGAGGGCAACATTTCGTTTAATATTCGATCAGTGTGCTAGATGGCGCCACCACTACTTTTATTGCAAGTAAATCTTGCTCTTTCAATAAAATTTGTCGTAAAATATCTCAATCTGAAGGTAAAACCAGTAAAATTTCAGTTTGTAAACGAAAAGTGATGTTGGCGTTGATTTGAAATGAGTCTCGCACACACAATCCACTTTTATTACTTTCCTTCATTTCGAAGGTGACTCGAACTTTCACCTTCTCTCATTGTTTATTCAAAACTATGAACCCAAACAAGAATTTGTTACCATGAAACTAGCTATTACTTCGTTCGCCATCCATGTATGTATCTTAATTAGTTGCAAAAATGGACGCAGCTTCATTTATGACGTCACAGGCGAGTTTAATTACGGCGAAAGTATTTTTCGTTTCGAATAAATACCTATCTAGTTTCGCGAAAATGGAACGAACATTTAATTGGGTTACTTCCAGTTTAAACTTTTCCTTTGCTTTTGACAGTTGCGTATGAACTGTCGTGACAAATGAGCATCGAATTAACTTCGGCCACATCTCCTATATTAAAAAAAGAGAAACGTGGCTCTGTCAAAATTAGTTTTTTTCCAATAGGATTAAGTCGACCGTATCGACGATTGGACCTACACAAGTTAATTAAGGTTGCTGAAAGCTATAAATCGTATTTAAAAGGAACGCTCTAGGAGCTTTTTGACCGCTCAAACAAAACTACTATTCCAATATAAATATAAAGCTCAAAACGAACTTTCTGTAATAAACTTAGAGCGGTGATTAGAGAAAGGTAATAACTCCTATGAAAAACGCTGACTGAGGTTAGGCGGTTTAAACCTGGATCTACGATTATATGCTGTAAAGACCCGAACATTCCAATAAAATTTACCCGTCGGGCGATTTCCTTTTTATTACACCACCTGGCCGTGATTAAGCCACTGCGCAATGTGAAGCCTCACCGTGTCTTTAGTCTCAGAAACATCACTAACAATTCGCAACGTTACACTACTTAAAAATAAAAGAAAACAGCCCTGGATTTGGGGCCCGAGCGTCCCTTTTACTGCTAGCCCACCTGTCAAAACGCAATTAAAATAATAATAATAGTAAGAGAGTAATAAAAGTATGTCTCTGTCGCTTAGTAACACGTCGGGACTGTGAAAATCGAACTGCCAGAAGATTCAAAATTAAAAAAAATACTTACAGCTTACTATTTGTCTACAATGTATCTATTAATTTTAATTAAAGCCTAACAAGTATGTCTAATTTTTTAGCTATAACGGTTTTGCAAAGTTGTGCAAGTTTTATGTGCTTTTTCCTCTTCCTCCCTCTCGTGCTTCTCATGCTCGGGCCTGCCCCCTCTTTTTTTTTTGTCATACACATCCCCGCCCGCCGCCGAAAACTAGGTGGATGCGCGGCTCGAGATTTTCGCTAAAATAAAGCGTTTCTGGTAAACAACAACAGCCCGGTAAATAGAAACCGAGCAAAGGAGTTAATAACAGCGTTTGTGCGCGAAATCAACAATTTTTATTTATTTGCATAAGCATAAGGCCTTGGAAGTGCGTGGGACGTAAGAGCGTACGCGATCAGCCAATTAAAACTTGAAGTCGTACGCAATGAGCAAATAAACCACCCCTCAAAAAGGGTAAGCATGCCTTATCAGTTTAGTGTTGTGCCGTCCTCGGTAGCGAAAGCATCGGAGCAGGCAACTTACTGACAGGGAGCGAAGGTACGATTTTACTGTTGAACTTTGTGATGTTTTATACATGTGTTTCGCAAACATTTTTCCAAACATAAACACGCAAAAGTAAACAGAAAAAAGTTGGAAAATAAATTGTACGAAAAAGTTGATGTTTCTTTTGGAAAAAAGTTTGCTGAAAATATAACTCGGAGATGTATCGACAACTGCGACTGTACGTTATGAATTATTTTGCACAGTGCAGTTGGAAAATTAGTGCGCGATTTTACGGAATTTTAGCGGAAAAATGCAGTTTTAGTAAATGCGGTAATAAAAAAATTATGCCGGAATTTTTGTGCCGCGAATACTTTTGCACTGCGAATATTCACACCCGTAAATTTGTCAGTAGGATATTTTTGAGATATTAGGACGAATTCTTTAAATTGTTGATCGATTTCATGTTTCTATCGTGAATATTTTCGCGTTATAAATATACGCGCACGAAAATGGAGCAGTCGTTAGGATGAAAAAAATTATTTTTTGTCGGAGATAAAAAATACCTGGAAAAATGTTTTTAGTTTTTATTATTGAAACGGAGAGAGAGTTTTACGTCTAAATATAAAATTAACCGGTATAATGCAAAAATAATTGCAAAGAGTTGTCTTTCCGTCTCATATTTACAAGACGTGAAACGAGAATGTTTATATACGCCTCTGCAATATATTCTGTTGATGACGAATATGCTTCAAACGTACGAGAAAATATTATTATTTGGTAAAGGTCGTCTTCCTGAATTCCATATATTTTCGTACCAAATATAACCAATTATATATAAATTAATATAACAAAGAATCTACAAAAAATTCCAAAAAGGACGTATTTCCTAATTACTGTATCAAACTCGTATTATGTATCGTTTTTCGACAAAAAGGATACGTTTTTCAAATAATTAAAACTACAAACAAGGCCCCTTCAGAACACAACACATTTTTAACACGGTCCCTTCAGAACACAACACATTTTTAATAATTTCAACCTGGTTTTTCAAGATAACTTTTGAAAAGTTAAAATTTTTAAAGAATTTGCCCGGTTTTTCCAAACGTACCCTTTTCAAAAAAGTCACCATTTCAAGGAAAATACACCGTTTTTTCAAACAAGAATACGGTTTGGACCAAACAAATTTCCCTTTTAAAAACATTTAAAATTAGGAATTTTACCTTGATTTCAAAGATTTTACACTGTTTAGAATTTCGTACTAATATGGCCCCTTCAGAACACAGCTACTTTTTAAGGAAAACACCCCGATTTTCAAGGATTAACAGAAAAGCAGAAAAATCGTGAAGACTCCCGTTTTTAAGATATATTTTAAAATTAACATTTTTTAAAGAATTTGCTCGGTTTTTCTATTGGGGGCTATTTCAGCGCACATATGAATACTGTTTCGTCCAATCGTCAGAATGTTATTACAGCATGTAAAAATAAATAAAATAAGATAATAATGATACATTAAGATGTAATTATTTAAGATCCCATTAGAAGAGTAAAAACATCTCCATGTTTATAAATTCCTTCAATTGATAAAGTTTTCCAATCATGTGCATAAATACCATATGGACCATTTGTTTCAGGTCTAAGATAAGGACTAGGAAAAGGTTTTACTTCTGTAGCTTTTTCCTCTTCTTCCTTATATATTCTCATATATCCTTTACGGATAAAGTAAAATAGATCGAGATATCTCATAGGATCTTTGAAACAATTTTTAAATTTAAAAATAACTCCTTCTTTCATTGGATAATTAAATTTAATTTCTATTTCATCATTGTGACTAACTTTTTGATTAAATATTTTTTCATATCTCTTTAAATTATAAAGTGTACCTAAAGTAATAAAACCTGAAAATATTTGTTGTTTGCCTTCGCTCGAAATAAGTTGGTCTAGATCTTTTTGTAATTCTTGTATAAAATGTTGTGATAATTTTTGATAGCATAATATAATGAATAAATTTAGTTTGTGTTTGTTTTCTCTGATAAAATCTTCAGATAATTTTTGATATTGTGATATTGCACTCCAATCAACTTTATTGGCAAAATCTTTTATAAAATCTTCAGATAATTTTTGATATTGTGATATTGCACTCCAATCGAGTACATTGTGAAACTCTCTAATAAATTCTTCAGATAATTTTTGACGGAATGATACACATTCCCAATCAACTTTTGATCTAAATTCTCTAATCAAATCTTCAGATAATTCTTTATTAGCAGAAACATAAAACCAATCATCGATTTCATGACCGTTGTTTCTCATATCATCTTCCGTCATTAAGTCAAGTTTTCTCCATTCTTTTTCTTTATTAAAATCACATAAATTACCGAATATACCTTCGACATCGGCTTCACTTGAATAACTTGAGTCAGAGTCAGTCATTTATTTAAAAAAAAATCATATGAAAATGATCACAAACGATTAATTAGTTTTATTATTTGATCGATAAGTCCACATTTAAATCCGAAAACTGTCAAGTCAAATTTATCAGATTTAACTAATGTATTCGAAATATCATCAAATTCATAATACATTTTATCTTTAAAGAAATATAAATTTCTATATCTGAATGCTCCGCTTATATTTGGAGGTATTCCAGCAAATAATTCTGAAATAAGGCCATTTTTCTTTGATCTAAACAGACACTCATCAAACTCAATGTACAAGACTTTATCATAAAATATATATGTTTTTCCAGAATAAGTTCTAAATATTGCATCAATTCTTTTTCCTTTTGGTATTCCTAAATTTTCAATAGATCGAGCATTATATCCACTTTTAACATTAAAACTTGGAAAATCAATTAAATAATATAAATTTTCAACAACTATTAAAACATCACCTGAAGGTCTTTGATAAATATGTGAAATTTCTTTAAAATCATCTGGCAAAAAATATAAATAATCTTTAATTAATTTCGGTTCTTTATCATAAGTCATGTCTTTTAAATTGACTAACCAAACATATTTCTTATAAAAAATATACATATGATGATTTGCAATTAAGAATGTATCAATTTCTTTATTAAAATCACATAAATTACCGAATATACCTTCGACATCGGCTTCACCTCTAGGTTGGCCTTCAGGGACGCTTTGCCTTACAGTAGGTTTAACTGTTGTTGTTGTTGGTATTAATTCATATTTTAATCGTTCGGGTCTTCCATATAAATATTGAATTGCCCACA